GGGACGGCCTGGCCGAGGCCTTAAGCAGAGGAAGAGGTAGGAAGCGCTGGGGAAGGTCCGTGGGTGTCTGCTTGAAATGGTGAGTCCGTGAGAGGAAGTGCCCTCCTCAGCCCCCCGCCGCTGCCTGGCGTGTATCTGCTCCTTGCTTCCTCTTTGTCCTTACGCGTTTCCCTGAGCTCCAGTAGACGATATCCTGAGTCAGGAGAGGGTCTGGCTTTGACTCGCTACGTCTGAAATCATGGCTGTTGGCCTCATGAGAACTGAGCTTCGGAGCTCAGTCGTCTTCCTGCGTTTATGCTGAGGTTAAGGGGAGTAAAAGTAGTTCTCTGTGTTTGACGTGGTTGTGGGAATTCTTATTTCTATGTGCTTTATGGTATTCAAAGAGATAAGCCTTCTCACAAGTGCAATGTATTTTCAAAGGTGTTATAATTAACTTCCAAATAAATATGATTATCTGGACACCAACCTGAAGCAATAATTTCAGCAGACAGCACTGTGTTTGCTTTTTTATGTCTCTTTCCCAAACTATGGGCTTTCCCAAATGCTGGGCTTTCCTCTTTGTCATCTAAAGAGATAACTTGGGGGGAAAAAATGGCAGGGAGAAGTTTCCTCTTCTGTACCCACATAAAACTTAGTGTATCCCTTAGGAAACTGAACGGGGGTTGAAGGTGGGTTTACACTCAAAGACTGTACTCGTCTTGTCTATAGACTGGCTGTTTCCTTTTAGGAAGGTGTCACATCTTTGACTGTATTAATGAATTGTTACTTCAGTTTTCAGAAGGAAGTGACTGGCTTCTCTGACGCGATACTTAAGAATGGTTTGAACAACAGATACCGTGTGTTGGAAGTCAGCATAATACAGAAAAATGGAAGGGACCCAGAGAAACACCTGACAGTTACGTCATCTCAGTCACTGGAAGATACAGAACTGTGCATTCTAAGGAATGGCTGGTAATCCATAAAGAAACATAGACTGAAAAAGTCATATCTGAAAAGTCATGCTTTCCTATCTGAACAGGGGATATGTTATTGGATCATTAACCATCTTTTCTTTGTATTACTTCTGAAATGAGTTTTACTCTCTTAAAAATGATAAGAAATGCTATATTTAAGCAACCTTTCTTTAATGTAGTGTTGTCAATATATTAGCGTAATGGATATTCATCCTGAGGGCAACTGATGTCATATTTACTCGTATCAAATAAATATTGCTACCTGAAAGTTTTAATATATTCAGTCCTGTGTTCATACTAACAAACAGCAAGGCAGTAAAGTCAAAGCAGAGCATTTTATCTGCATGTTGTCTTGCAACAATTGGAAGTGTTCTTTTAGATGATATACAAAGATATGTCTGTAAAATATGAGGTTTTGTACAGTCTGATAAGACCACCTTAGCTTGAGCTCCACTGGAAAGAGTTTTTCAAGTGTGCATCGGAGAGGATTCCAATTCAGGTGTTTGTGCGTTGCATGGTGTGTTACAGAAGAAATGACTAGTCTTGGAACACATGAGCATGCACTAGCTGTTTGATACTGCTTTTCATTTTACAATGGAGTCTGAAAGACGGGGGCAGGGGGAGGGAAGTCTTAAGACTCCATTTCTTGGAAGAGGAAGCACAAGTTACTTTGAACGCTGAAACTTACCAGTCAATTAAAAAAAAAAAAAAAGTCTGCTAATCCTCTGAAACAAGTGGAACAGATGTGCAATACATGAGAACTGTCTTTTTGCTTAAGAGCAGTTTGCCAATATATAATGTAATAATGCTGAAGTGGCTCAATAGGTGGGGCTGGAATAACTCGAAGTGTACCAGATTTCCCTGCGTGCACGTTGTTCTGACGCATTATCCAGTACTCAAACAAGCTTTATCGGTAACAAGTCCTGCATTCATTTTCAGCATTTAAGTGAACTTCTTACAAATACAAAAAATTGTTCCTTCAAAGTATGTTGAATCTGTGAAATATATTAATATAGCTTTGAATGTTTGGTGTCCTTAGCTTGCAAGTGGTTGTTCAAATGTATTACTTTATAGGGATTCTGTTCCAGTTGTTCCAGGAGACATCATTCACTTGGAAGGGGAGTGTAGCTCTGGTACGTGGATAATAAACGAACAGTCTGGATACCTGATTCTTTACCCAGACCTGCTGCTTTCTGGCACTACGATATCAAGTAGTATTCGATGTATGAGAAGAGCAGTGCTGAGTGAAAAGTTTAGGGTGAGTGTTAATTATAGAGCTTCAAGTGTTTTAATGTGATTAGTTATTGCCTCACTTATTGAGACTGATGGCTTTGTCTGCTATTAAAACCAGCTGAGACACTGAATTGCAAAATGTAGTTATTAGCAGTTCATAATGTTTACAAAATGGAATAGTTTAGAATGGAAACTGTCTGTTTGTCTTTGGCTGGGCTTTTTGACAATTTCTGCTGAAATAATCCTATATTCTTAATGCGGCTAATGAAGACCAAAACAAACAAACAAACAAAAAAAGGTCTGCCCACTTAAAATTCTGGCAGCCTTTTTGGTAATTTTTGTGTTCTTAGCCACATCTTGTATGGGTATGAATCCTTTGTGAGGGGTGTGCCTCTTATTGGCCCTATGAAAACAACTACATGTGGACAGGTTTAAAGCTTTTGAAAAATCAGCCAACGTTGTTCAGTTGAGACTTTTTCTGGAGTACCTACTCTAATACGGTAGGAGGAGTATGCTTTAGGTGATCAAGCGGGAATGCACCTGAAGATCAAGCAGAAATATACCTGTATTGTAATCGGGGTTAGTGTGGGCCAAGTCTGGAATCCAAGTTCATGTGCTGGAAGTTGAAAAGAAGAAAAATTTCTTGTGGTAGGCAACATCTGCCAGTTTCTGCTTAAAAACAACAAAAAAACAAACAAAACTTCTAGACGTGTTGGGAATATAAATCTAAATAGGGAGGGGAACCAGAACGGAGTGGGAAACAAGTTTGCTGGGAGACCATGGCTGGAACAAGACATTTAAGTATAGGAGGTTAAGACTGTGAGAGGAGATGGTGACAGGAGGCCTTGACTAGAGAAGTGATGGGAGCAAACTAAGAATCATTTGTAAGGGACAGGGCAGAGGGTCCCGATTCCAGGATTGCACTGCTCTCCAGATGCTGGAGTGAAACCAGTGATTGTCAAATCTGTAAAAGATATCAATAGATACTTGCAAAACCCTGTTAGTTATCCAGTCATTTACTGGTGGCTCGTGCAGGGTTCATAACTTAGTAAATGCTTATGACTCTACAGAGACCAAATCTGGTGATGATGAGACAGGTTTCTGAGGCATAGTGATGTTGGAATTACTTTGTGTGACCTGTTACAACACAAGAAACCACTTCACTTATGCGTAATGTGAAAGTAATATTTGTAAGCTTTTAAAGGTAAGCGTTCGCATTAGGAAATGCTGCTATTAATGCTGTCCGCAATCAAAACTTGCTCAAAATTCACTTTAATCCATGCCTTTGTTCCTCCTCCGTCACACAGGGATTGTGTTCTAGAGTTAACAGGATTGGAATAAAAATGAGAGATAAAGCATTAGGAGAGATCTGTTTAAATTTGGCAGCCTTCATGATAAGGTTTGAATAGATGGTAATCAGTGAAAGGAAAGCTTAAATGATTTTGTCGTGAAATGGGTGCTGTCCCTCATGGGCAGCGAATGAAAACCAAAGATTTTCTATAGAAGTGGTATAAAATGGACATAAAGCTTCCTATACGTGCTGTATAAGTCATGTATGTTGTATGACTTCTGTTGTAGCGCTCTGAGTCTGGCTCACGCCAAATGCTCGTTGGTACAATTCTTCATGAAATTTTCCAGCAAGCGGTAACAAATAACTTGGCCCGTGAAAAAGTAGAAGAACTAGCAAAGAAAACTGTCTATGGACAAAAGTATCTCAAAGAAATGTAAGTAGCATTACAGGTATCCATTTTTTTAAGTTTGGAAGGCGGGATAGAAACATTTAAACTAGCAGATAAATTGCTACTCAAAAAAATGTAGCATTCCTGTCTGGGGAGCATTCTGCCAAATGACCTTAATTCATGAAACTTTGATATCTTTTAGTAAAATACTTCCCTGTTTCATGATGTCATTTAATTTACCTTCCCTGCTGAGCTACTCTTATAGATGTGAATTATACTTCTGGAGAAACCACAGCTTTTTTTTTGCCAGACCAGCAGGGGTCAAGTTTTGTGCCTATAACCTTAGAGTTGAATGCCTCTCTCAAAGCTGAGTTTAACGTGACAAACATAATGTTGATCCTAAAGAAACGAAACAAACTTCTGACTGACCAAGCATTGAGATGTCTGTTATTTCCATGTTCTCTATTGGGTTGCTTAAAGGCCCGTACGTTGAGGGATTTTTAACTTATTTTCTGCACAAAGCTGATACCAAGACTGTTTATTTGACTAGAATTTCTATTTCCATCAGCAAATGGCAAGATGAATGGTTGTCAGTTTTATAATTTCACTGCAGACTTGATTAAAATTGAATTCAGTTTATGTAAAAATTCTAATTTCAGTATTACAAATTATACATTGTGGGAAATGTCAGTGACCTTGAGCCCCTGAAGAGCTGGAAATTTAAAAAAAAAAAAAAGTATCAAAATAAGTTACTCTGGTTCTGGTCATTTTTATTGTGACTGCAAAGGTTACTTAGTCTTCTGTATCTTACTGGTGTCTGTGTTTGAAACTGCTGATTGCAATTTCTCTTTGTACGTGTAGACTACTTTTGGGACTAAAAAGTAAATTACAGAAAGTGATCATTTGCACTTCTGTGGATTTCCTTGTGTAAAGCTCCCTTCTATTTCTCTGGTGCTATAGAATAATGCATTTATTTCCAGTGAGTGCTAGCACTGAACTATCTAATGCCTACTTGATTAGATTCTGTTAATGTCATTTCTGCTTTTTTGTGTTTGTAACTGCAGTGATGCTCTGAAGGGGATCATATTCCTTCCCAACTAAAATGATTTAGAGCCTGTCAAAATGTATATGAAAGACAATTAGTAGACCACTATATCCAAACAAAAACCAAATACAATCAGATTGGGGGAGGTGCACTTTGATTTTTGTTTGTTTGGGGGGCTTTTTGTTTTCAAATGTTCTCAACTTCATGTGAAGCCTAGAAATAGCCAGTTTTAAATGCAATGTTACTATCAGTTTTGTTTCATCAGTTCTACCTTGCTGATGTTTGTGATGTCTGTGGGTGTGTTTTTTAGTTTTGTTGTTTTTGTTACACCCAATGTTCCAAATGAATTATATCGGAAATGAATAGAATGTATGCTGTATCTCCTGATAGATGCTTAACTATAGTTTTTATGAAGTGGTTGATCAAGTTGAACCTTAATGAATCTGTTGTTTTCTACACTTTGGTTCTTCCATTATGGTTATTCCCATAAATCTTGCTGGTACTTGAATACCAGAGGCGAAGCTACTGTTCCTATCTCGTTAATGGATACGGTTTTGATTTTTTTAGGTATCTCTTAAATCTGAAACAAAATGAAATAATGCAGGAAGTAGAAGAATATTTACCATCATTTCTTAAATGGGCAGAAGACTTCATGCGCAATCCAGCTAACCAAAACAAAATGCAACTAAAACTGTAAGAAGTCAGATTTAAAAGTTAAAATCATTCTATGTTGTTTTCCTACCCTTAAGAAAAGCCAATTCAAACTTTTCAGTATATTAAGTCTGACTCCCTTATTTTTAAAGAACACTTCTTATATGAATCTGTTCAGTGGTGTAGATGATGGTTCATTGCCTAAACAATTATCCTTGAGAGCTACATGTTTAATTGCCATTGCAAGTACTGGGAAAGACATTAAGAATGATCATTATCAGACAGGGGAAGAACTGACAAATATCTTGCTGGTCTGAAATTCTTTGTAAACAATGCGATACAAAGTAGAAATGTTAGCATTTATAAGAACTAGCATATTTGATCAACTGACTGGCCTAGAAGATATTGTCGATAAGTGTACAAACTACAATATTAAATTATCCTAGTGAAGAATTAAGTTTGATTAATAAGTTTATCAGTGAAACAATGTTTTTACTCAATTGTGGCAGACCTCTTCCTATCTATGGCTTCTTGCGGTCAATTGTAATAGCCATAGGGTGTTAAAGTTTCGTGAACCACCATGTCCAAGTGAAACCTGTCTGCTTCCAGTATATGCCATTAAACCTTTTGAAGAAACTAAATGTTTTGGAGTGTGTTTATTCAGAAAAAAGCGAAAACTAGCAAGCAGTTTAAGATTCTTTTTTAACTTAATCTGAAATTGAGGTGGATAGCAAAACTACATGGCGAAGTGCTATTTAAAATAACTTCCTGATGTGATGCTTTCTCCGTTTATAGAAGGATTGTTTGAGCAAGTCTCCCTTTCTCTGAAGTTAGTGCTTAAAGAGCGCCTGTAATGCAGAAATCATTATTAATTATAACACTTTTAATATTAAAAATACTAAGGGGAAATATTAAGGGAAATCAGTCACTTCTGACTTGCTTTATTTTCTTCCTAGGTCAAGCAATGGAAAAGTAGAAGATTTCTCTTCCAAGATAGAAATTATGGATATTCTAGACGTTGAAGAGACTATCTGGTCTCCCAGGTTTGGGCTGAAGGGAAAGATTGACATTACAGCCAGTGTGAAAATCCATTGCCAGTCTGGAGTGCAGTCGAGGATAATGCCGTTAGAACTCAAGTCTGGCAAAGAATCTAACTCCATAGAACACAGAAGTCAGGTACAAATAATAAATATGTGATTTAACTATCAGTGAGTGTGTGTAAACTTATTAGATGACCTTTTTTGTGTTATGAATGTGAAACGTTTTGTTTATGTGATATAATTTCAAATTATGGATGGTCCATCGATTCTGGCAAGTCCAAAGCTCCTGTTATAAAATGAAAATGAACTGAGGAGGGTGAATTATATACGATTACCACTCTCAAACACAAATTTGTCTTTTATCCTGAAAAATCTGTTTAGTCTCCTGTTACTACACTCAATTATTGGACTGAGGCAAATTGCTTCAAGAAATAGTGCCTCTTCCTGGACAGCTGATCTGACCTAGAGGTATTAGCTCTGTATTAGCTTTTTGTTAAGGAAGATGCCTTTTAATGTAAATCCTTGGTTAGCTATTTACTGCTTATGCTTACTAGATTACTTGTAATGACTGCTTAATTATATAAATTATGGAAATACACCTTATAACATACTTTATTTGTAATATACAGTAAATAAGTTCTATAAAAATGTTTTCAGGTTATTCTGTATACGTTGATGAATTTGGAGCGGAAAGTAGATCCTGAAGCTGGATTTCTTCTTTATCTTAAAACTGGCTCTATGTATCCTGTTTCTGGAACTCGTATGGACAGAAGAGGTAAAGTTGTTCCCTGGCCCTAGAAACCATACTTCCTTATCTTAATTACAGCGAAGCGTTTTAGTAGGAGTTATAAATATATGGTTTACTCTCTTGACTCTATCTCTACTTACAGATATATCACTTATCATAGTTTTACTTATTTCAATAAGCTTGTATTAAAAGCTTAGATTAGTTAAAGTATATTTTATTAATATTCCATTAGGACTTCTAATATAAATACCCACTTAGCTGGCTATTAAAAAGTCAATGGCTGGTTACTTCTGAGTTGAAAATAATTAAAAGCAAACCCCAAAATATCAGCTTAACTTGTTCTTTTCTCCACAGAATTAATTAAGTTAAGAAACCAGGTGGCCTTCTACTTAATGCACAGTACACACAAATCTGCTGTGGGAAGAAAGCAAACACAGCTTGCTGCTTTGCCTCCTATAATTGATGACAATCAAGCCTGTAAATACTGCTCCCAAGCACATAATTGCTTTCTGTATAGCAGGTAAAACAAACAAACAGACAAAAAAAAGAGTAGTAGTTGGAGCAGTTTGTTTTGAAATAAGCTTGAATTGCAACCTTTGATAACTGAGTTTTGTTTTGTTTTCTGGTGGACAGTTTTGTTTTTCTATGTGATGACTCTTTCACTCCCAAATGAATAATGTTCTGTAAACTCCTATGCAACTTTTACAGTGTAAGCAAGTAAGTCTCTGATCCTGCAGAGATTTACCTGTTTGCTGCTGAAAGCACTTCTGAACACAAAAGCTGAGATAAGTCTTACAATAGTTAATGAGGATAACAAATTTCTGTTGCACCTAGGTTAATAATAATTATGTTAATAAAGATATGTCCTTGCAACTCTCCTCACTCTGTACACAGTACTTTTTTTCTAAACTAGATTAATTTGTGTGAAATACTACTAATATTCAGCTGTTATGGCAATAGGATTATTCCTAATCGAGTAGCTTATTTCTACTTCCGTAGAACTAACTTTTTTCCTCTTGAATGTTGCAATTTATGTACATGATTATGTACAGTGTCTATGGATGCTTTGTTTTGAGATAAATTGACTAGAAGAACTGAATTGACTGTTTGTATATAACTGTGGAATTTCCTTAGCTAAATCTCAGTATGGTGATCATATCTTACCAAAAAAAGGGAATAAAAGATTAAATATCTAAATATACATAGTGCTATTCTCCTTTCAGTAACTTTTGTCCTTAATCTTTCAAAATCATGGGGATGATGTCCAGTTATTACTATGAGATTGTTCATATGACCAAAAGATATGAGTTCTACTGTATTTCAGTGATGTTAGATTAATCTATCTGATATGTTTTTCTGTGATACAGTATACATTTGGATTAGCATTATGTCCAGGAAGACCTGCAAGGAAAAAAAATACAAGTTGACTCTTTCCTCTATTCCTAGAGCTGTAGAACAAAAGATGACCAGTGCGTCTCTTCCTCCTGTTTTGGTACCCATTATTGAAAAAGAGACCCAGCACCTGAAACCCTCCCACTTAGAGTATTTCAGCCTGTGGTATCTAATGTTAACCTTGGAGCTGCGAAGTGGAGAGAGTAAAAAGGGATCTAAAAATATATGGATGATACCTTCTCTGGAAAGGTAAGAGGTAATTTTTAACTTGGTACAGACAATGTCCCCTTCAGAAACTGAAAGAAAGGCACTGTATACTTGTAGTGTTTTCACTATAAGGGAAACTAGATGTTTTTCCAGTCCTTGTAGAAATACTCAAATATGCTTCCTTGCAAGGTTCCTCGTGTGTGTTTTCACTTCCCTCTTCTCTCTGTGAGATGTGACCTAATGAAGGCATTAGTCTATTAGATTTACTGATTTCTTATTTGCAACGTGATACTTAAGCAAACAAACAAAAAGCTAAGTTCCACATAGGAAGTGGTGAATTGCAGCCTCAGCCTTCAGAAGTAAAAGCTGTGTAATTTTTGTTTTGTTTCTGAGGGCTGAGGCCGCATGTTGACTGCAAGCCCCGCTCATTGCACTGCTTTTCTGCGGGTTTATTTGACAAATGATGTGTATTTGGGCTGTATTCCTAGGCATGGTTGGCAATCTTTTCTGAAGTTAAAATGGCTGTTGTAAAGTAACTTCTTATTTAATCTTCCTGGTTCTTGATTTTTTTTTTTTTTCTTAGAATATTCCTTTCACTGAGATAATCTTACACTCATATATATGTGTATATACATACATACATGTTATATATATTTTAATATCTTCACAGAGAGAAGGCTGGAGATTGTGTTGGGAACGTGATCAGAACTGGTCAAGTGCAGGAAATTTCTGAGGGGCAGTATCTACATTCTTTCCAACGTAAAAGTGGTGCAATACCTGTAACAAATCTCCTGGTTGGTGATAGAGTGGTTGTGAGTGGAGAGGAAAACGGCTTACTTGGTTTGGCTGCTGGCTATGTTAGAGAAGTCACTGTGACAAACGTCTCCTGTTTATTGGGCAGGTAATAGGAAAAAACAAAACAAAAAAGGATATTTTTCCTTTGAAGGCATAAAATTACTGGCATCAGGAAGGGTACTTCTAGGCCCCCCAAAAGCTCTGACATGGGTCTGATTTCCTCTTGCTAGGATGAGGGAAGTACAACTCCAGAATTCTTGCATCTTGATTAAACGTGTTGGGGTTTGGTCCATGTGTATGCCTGTATTTTTAACAAGGTGGTTTAATTAAAAGCATGCTTGCAAATTCAGTTTACTTGTGGCTCTAACATGAGACTATGTGGATACTGTGATTACTGTGTTAATAGCAACTTACATTATTCAGGCTATACTGCCTCTAAACTGGGGGATGTTCACATCTTACCTCAGGTGAGTTACCAGGTTGGGGTGTTTCTTCCAGCTATTGCTTTACTCTATGACCTTAGGGAGGTTTCACTTAGCACTTAGTAATAAGTCTTTAATCATCAGCGTGGTCCCTACAAACAGAATTACTTTGTCTGTGGTACTGTCATCTTTCAGGAATTTGTCAAAGTTCCCAAAGAACACTGTATTTAGATTGGATCACGAAGAAGGAGACTTTGGCATAAGTGTCCCTCTTGAAAATCTTTCCAAATTGATGGAAGATTCCCCAGACAGGTATAAAAAAAACTAAGTAACTTTTCACGTTTTTAATATTCTGGGAAGAGTTTCTCAATTGGTGACTTTGGATTTTGTGTTTCTCCTTCCACAGCGAAAAGCTTCGCAACTTGATAATCGACTTCCACAAACCACGGTTTATTCAGCATTTGAGCTCTGTCCTTCCTCCTGAAGCAAAGGAAACTGTTGCAAATATTTTAAAGGGTATAAAGTCTGTGTTTTCTTACCCCACCCCCCGCAAGTCCTCTGCTCAGAAGTATACCTCTATTGCCCAAGCATTTATCACATTAAATATAAGGGTTTTTTTCTGTGATTTCGAAGTCCAATTATAGTTATCTGCTTGAAGATGAAAACGAGTTCTTTCCTGTGATGAAATTCATAAACTAGGTGGGAGAATGACTAAATGTTTCTTTAGAGTTCTGATTTTACTGTTGTTAGTTCCCGCAGCTCACAGTTTTGAACAGAGTACCGTGTGACTACATCTAACTTGCACAAAATCAGGGGCAGGGAAGGCTTTTGGAACGGGGGAAACGGGCTTTGAGGGAGTGGAAGCAGCTGGGCTTTGGTGTGAGCATTCCCTTGTATTGGCATTGTTGCTGACCTGTTGGATACAGCGTAGCGTATGAGGCTTTGTGGGACTTCTGTGAAACAAAATTATTTTATGTATGTGGAAGTGTCATTCATTCACTGAAAATACTCAGTTTTTCTGACTTATCTGTAAAAACAGAAATCTAACTGAATTATCTTAGAGCAAATAAAACTTTTATAAAAATTTAGTCTGAAGACTGAAAGATGTGGCTTGTTGCTTTAAATAAGAATTTTGGCCAGCCTCCTGTCCAGCCACTGAAGGGATAAGGAATTAAAGGAGGAAGTATATGCTGAAATCCAAGAATGGCAAATTATCAAATATAGTGGAAGAGCTGGAGGACAGTACCTTCCCACGGAAAGAGTACTTGCAAGCCATATGTTTTGCTTTTACTGTAAATCTAGAGGCTTTTTTTTTTTAAACTTGAGCTTTGCCCAGTCCAAATAGCTGGAACGCACTGCTCATCTGCATCAGACTGTGGAAAAACAGCTCTGATTTAATGTTTCTTCCTTTCAAGATGATGCCGTCTGTGCAGTTTATTTCCCTTTGCAGCAAAGTATACTTTTGAACATGAAAATGGATGTGATAAAGTAGAAGTGTCCTTATAAGACCTCTTACAAAGATGGTCATTTAGGATATTAGGAAAAAATCACAAAAGGCCTCCAAAGAAGAATGTCTTCAATAACTTATTTCTAGGTCTGTAGTGCAGACCTCTAGTGCTTGTCTGTGTACTGTGGTGTTTAACATCATCACTTCATCAGAGCCTAGAGGCTTGCTTTGCTCAGTCTTTCTCTTTAATGGCTTTAGTGGAGGAGGAAACTCGATCATTTTGTTTTATTAAATACAAAAAATATTGTAACTATTATTTACTATAGACATTTCATTTTGTTTTTCTTCTTTAAAGGTCTGAATAAACCTCAGAAACAGGCAATGAAGCAAGTGCTGCTTTCAAAGGACTACACGCTTATCGTGGGTATGCCTGGAACGGGAAAAACTACTACAATATGTGCTCTAGTAAGATCATGTAACTTGATGTTGAAAACTTTTGTGAGATTTGGAGGAGAGCATTAAACTGCAGAAAGCATACTTTTCTAAAAACAATTGTGATGACTTAGTCAACTGCTATCTGCATGATTTCAAGGAAGAATACACGTTTATTTCCACTTAAGAACTTACATATTTTTAGTTCTACCAAACATACATGGGAGGAAGGAGACTGAATTGTGATATTTAATCAGTTCTGTCTCACTTTGATAAAATTCTTCATCCCCAAAAGCAAGTAAGTCCTCAAATCCTGAGTTGCTGCTCAGAGAAAAAAAGGACGCCTTGGGGAAGTCTGCGACTCACCCGTTATAAATTATATGAATCCATGGTGCCCAAGCTATGTGCAGCCTGCTGCCCAACTGCTCTAGCTGGTGGTCCTGTTGTCCCCAGGAACATCCTGTAGGAGCGTACTGGATTATGGCTGTGGGCTGAGTGAATTGTTCTTGAAATAGCAGCAACATCTTACCCCCAGCTGTCATCTTTCCTGAATGGGTGTTTTGCCTTTTTCCTTCCCTGCTGCACAAGAAAAGTCATGAGGAAAGAGGATGACAGAGCAGGCAGCGCTGCTATTAACAGATCAGCTCAATCTGCTGAATCCCTCTGTGTGTGGCTTAACGGTCCTGGAGTAAAGTGTTTCTGGGAATGGGCTGCATGACTTGTTCTAACAGTGGTGGCCTGCTTTAGAGTGCCTTCTTTCCAGTGCAAGGATGTTCTTATCTCTCACAATATGCAACGTGTGTAGTAAGGCTGTTGTTTATGGGAACCATCAGGTCTACTGCCCATATTGCCTTTACAATAGCTAAGTGGCAGATCTGGCCGGAAGGGCTGATGTAAGTACTTGTAATTGGTTCCCCCTGGGATTTATTGGCTTTCAATCCAACTTGGAATTGCTGATTCTTGCATGTAAACTGTTAACTTTTTCTCTTCCTGTACCAACGATTAGGTGAGAATTCTTTCTGCTTGTGGCTTCAGTGTTCTTCTGACCAGTTTTACACACACTGCTGTAGACAATATCCTGCTGAAGCTAGCCAGATTCAAAGTAGGATTCTTGCGCTTGGGGCGAGCTCAGAAGGTTCATCCAGATATACATAAATTTACGGAAGAAGAAATTTGCAGGTCCAAATCAATTAAATCTGTAACTGATTTGGAAGAGCTCTATAACAGTCAGGTGAGAAAAGAATTTTTGATAGCCTTGTAAAACATTATAGATTACATTAGTATTCTGGTTGTTCAGATACTGCAGAGAAGAAATCCATCCCAGTGATGTGTTACTAATAGAAGGAATCTGAACTGAAGAGAAGATACTCAATTTCTGCATCACTTCAATTTAGTTATAGCCAGTAATGACTGAAAATTTCAATCTGAAAGTTGAAAAGCATTATTTATATCTATGCAAAATAATTACCATAAGTAATAGTTCCCAAAGCCTCCAATGCTTTTTATTTCATGGTATTGTTTTCGTATATATCCTCTCCTGATGTGGTCTTGCCCTGAATTGATTGAAATGTGGTTTCATGGCAGCTTGATCCAGTTAAGGGAAAGGTGATGTAACTGCAGCCTCCTCCGCCATCTTTATTTGTGGTGGTGTTGTTTGTCCCTCTTTTCCCCCCCGGCTTGCGCGGCCTGCCACTTTTGTGCAGTTCGAGGGTGGGGAAGAGAGAAAGTTGCACTGCTGAGCTGATCTGACCAAAAACTAATTAATTTTTGGTTGAAAGCTTAGTACTGCTTTGTGTGAGTGCTAGTGCAAAGGATGGTCCTGGATATGGGGGAAACTGAGCCAGTGGCAGCTTTAGATTAAAGTATCTTAAAAGACTGAAGTTTCATGGCACTTGGAGTAGATGCTAGTATTGCAGCCCTCCCCCCTCCCCCATTTACTTTTCTGTTAACAGATGTTGCAGGGAAATGACTTAATGTTTGGGTGTTCTGGTCACTTCAGATTGCACTTGAAGCACAGGGGTGGGAATAATTGTGCTGCCATTGTTTTATCTTCTCTAGAACAATTCCCTTTTTGCCCCTTACCTGCAATTTTCTAAGGTAGACGCTTCACCATGCTTCATAAACTGTGTTTACCTAGAACCTGTTGCCATCCAGAACACATGGCAGAAATGTGTTGTGAACTAGCTCCTGTTCTAAAGCTGTTTTTTACGTTTGTCACTTGCAAACAGTGCAAGACTTGAAGAATATGGGGAGGCCAGTATGTGTGCAAGGTGTGAACTGATCTGATTCAAGCATTAATGACTTGATTTCTTTAACTTGTGCTTTTCTTAATTTGTAAGAACTGGAAATATTTTATATATTGGAAACAATTTTTTTCTTATTCTGCAAAATGTAGTGTTAATGGATGTAAGATGTCTCTTATCTTTAAAGCGTGTCTCAATTTTCAGCCAGTGGTTGCAACGTCTTGCATGGGAGTAAATCACCCCATCCTTGTTCGGAAGCGGTTTGATTTCTGTATAGTTGACGAAGCTTCCCAAATAAGTCAGCCCATCTGTCTGGGTCCGCTTTTCTCCTCCAAAAGATTTGTGTTGGTGGGGGATCATCAGCAGCTGCCTCCACTTGTACAGAATGCAGAAGCGAGGTAAGATAAAATGCTGCTGGACAAATCGGTAATACGAGCTGTGGGAAGGCTCTTGCAATGTTTTGACTGATGCAGCTATGTGGGTTTTTTGTTTTGTTCTGTAACAGAGACCTTGGCATGAGTGAAAGCTTATTTAAGAGGCTGGAACAAAACCGGAATGCTGTTGTCCAGTTAACTGTACAATACAGAATGAACAGGTATTTAAAACCTTCATTTGTTACATTGCAGTTTAAACCCCACACTAAAGATTGCAATGTTTGACAGTGTTCCTTGTCTTTAAATCCTTAGTAAAATTATGTCACTGAGTAACACGTTAGTGTATGAAGGCAAACTGGAATGTGGCTCAGAGAAGGTGTCAAAGGCCACTGTTAACTTGCCAAACCTAAAAAAGTTGAAAGTGGAGCTTGCAGATTCTTCAAAAATATGGTTGAAAGAAGTACTTGAACCAGCTACACCTGTGTGTTTTCTAAACACAGAGAAGGTAAAGTAGATTATGTTCTACTTTCAAAATTATGTTTTTGTAAATTTTCAATACAGTTACTGTGTAAGAACTTGTAAAGCTTAAAGGTAGGGTAAAATATATGGCTTTAAACAATGATTTCCTAGTTATATGTAAAATGTGCAGTGTGCAGATGTGTCTAGTATAGCTGATGAGTTGTGATGGTGTATCTACTGCTACAAACAGTTCTTCTCATAGCAGTTGACAAGTTTAATTCAGACAGCCGCTATTCCAGAAACTGTTGGATGCACTATACGTTTGGTGTCCTCGTATAAAGAGTGTAGCTCAAAGCGTGTAGCCACATTGATGCCCTTGCAGCTATAGAGTGCTGTCATTTCCAGTGGCTGAGGCTCAGTGATGTCTAAGCTGTGTGCCACCGGCAGGAATAGCTTTAGTGCCCTGTTGAATTTTGCCAAAGTTCTACACATGAAGCGTGAGGGAGGAGTAAGTTGCATTAGGTGTATGCTTTCGTGAGGACTTGTAAAGAAATTCTTATCAGAAGAATAAAACTGAGATGCAACAAGGATTACGCCAGGAAAAGGACCTCTGGGTAAAATAAGAGAGAATTTAAATGCACGTGGAAAAAATGACTAAATTAATATGCACTTGCAGTTTCTAGTACTTGGTGTCACTAGTTAGTGACTGGTTTGTAAGGATTTGAGTCTATCTTCCCCTCTAGCAGGTTTTATTTTGAATTCTCTTAACACTGGGTATTGCCAATAGCTGTAGCAACTGAAGATCTTTATGCTGACCCTAGCCTTATGGCAGCGTCCTGGGAAGAAGTGTCCAATTTGTTTCCATGTTCTCTGGCATATTCTACAGGATTCATCTTTATGGCAGAATTCTAATAGATTCTCTTAAATGACTTTAAAAGTGACTCTTTACTGGTTTTGAGAAACTTCTAAAAATGCCTAAACTTAATAGGGAGGGAACTTCTCCACGAGTGCCTCAATAGCTGCCATCCCTTTCACAGCAAAGCAGACAGTTGGTCACAGGGAAGAGCTTCGTCCCAATACAAAATGTGCTAACGCACTATTCACCTATTGAGCAGACTGAAATTGGCAATGTGAAAATTAGAGCTTCTGTTTCATTTTAACTTTTCCTTCCTTCCTAGAAAGCCCATCTCGAGTGTAAGACATCTATTCTGTTTGTAGAATCAAGAGGGAAGTTTGACTTTCCAAAATATTTTTGATTTTTGGTTAGCTGTTAGGCTATAGTGTCAAATCTCTTTTTGATTTTCCTGTCAAAACTCTATGTACTATGGCAGCCATGGCTTAGAAAGAAAATAAATAGTAGTAGTATTTTCTTTTCCTTGTTTAAAATTGCATACTTGATTTAGTCCTGGGGGTTTCTGAGTACGTCCAGTCCAAAGCTTTTTCTTGTTCTATGCTAATGTAACACGCAAATATAAATGCAAGTATATATTCGAAATGTTAGGTTGTGGTGACAATAACTTCTTTTCATCTAAAATAGTTTTTCTATTTTGTATTGTTTCCAGCTGTGTTAATGTGGACAGAAACCAAGCATTCACTAAAATGGTGCCTTTCTTCTCTAAGGGAATTGAGCGCATACAAGTTAAGAGGCTTCTTAGGTGGACAGTGTTGAGACTAGTGAATTTAAAAAATAATAATAATAATTTGAGCTCCCAGCTCCCATTGCAGTAAAACTGGATTCAGTTGTGTCATGACAAGTCATGACAGCAGATAGACTGAGTCCATGATGGCAGTATAAACATTAAATTAGGTTATAGTGGGCATTGAGCTATGTAGCCATTAAAGCATAAGGTTAAGGTATGGAGGAAAAAGAGCGACAGAAGCTTCTAATGTGAAGGAAAATATTTTCTGCCTCTATAATCTATATATGCCTCTATAACACAATGTACTGAAAAGGAGACTGTCATGTAAGAAGCTTGGAGGAAATGTTGCAGAACTGGGATTCTTGCTGAAATGTGCGGTGCCCTATTTAAGGAACAGAACAAAGATTACTTTTTTGCATGTGGCAGGAATCCTGAAATAAACTTGTGGATGCTGTAACCTACTGTTAACATTTATGCTGCATCAAGAAGAGAGCTATTTGCTGTTACAATAATGTTATATATGGGTTTGTCAGTCTCTGAACACTTGTTCACTTGCAGTGCTTTAATATGCTAGATATTGAACATAGATTACACTTAATAAGCTACTAGTCAGCTGAGTTTCTGGTTTTGTGAAACTTCTGATGCATATTGTGCACCATCAGATTCTATATGCGTGCACTGGTACCGCTCTAGCAGGGAGAGACTGCTTGCCTGGAGTACTCATGCAGATAGTAACTGTGTGTTACTCTACCCACCAGTAAACATTTTTAAAAAACAAACAAGCAAGCTTCCAATTTCAGCTGCTCAGATGATACTGAGGAAACAGTGGTTGTTCACAGAATTAAAGCCAATTGTAATAGGACACTGATGCAGTGTCCTATTAGGTCAGACTAGGCCGTTTTTAAATGGCCAAACTACAGTTTTAAGTGAAAATGCTGTGTCATAAAAGCTGAGAAAGGAAAGTGAACAAAATGGCATAAAAGAAAGCAAAGTTGATGCATGTCACTAGTAACAGTGATGCAAATAGTGGAACGGACAGAGTCCTGGCTTTTGTAAGGCAATGCACACAGAAATTCAAAGCCAGAAAGCAGAGGCAAATTCGGTATATGCTCAGTTTTAGATGGTTTTAAATCAGGAAGTTTGCTACCAGATCCCGGTTGCTTAAGGGCTTGCCAGTTGACCAGAAAGATGACGTAGGTAACATCAGGGAGCTAGATCATTCATTGTTAGTGATGCTGCTTAAACTTTAAAGGAGGCAGGCATAAGCTAAGAGGATAGATTTGTGAAAATGTGGTTATGGGGACAGCAAGAGTATAAATTCTTGTAAGCTTGTTCCTAGGTATCAGTCTTACTTGTACGTGATGCAGAAAAGAGTTATTAGTTAAACTGAATTGAGTGAATACTTTTTTTCTCTTTGAACTTTGGAAGTCAAATTCAATACTGCTGTTCTCGATAAATTCTTATAGTTTTAAATCCAGGCTCTCAAAAATAAATAAGAAAAAATCTTGTCTGCTTTCAGTTTCCCCGTGGAAACAGGGAAAACTTGCTGTAAATATCATTGAATGGAGAGTCTTAAAACAAAAAGTCACATGTGAAATAGATTTTGCTCTTTCACTTTGACAAGCTGGGAGATATACATTTTTCATATACCTTATACGGTATGAACTGTAAGGTTGAATGAGCAAGCTTTGACAGTTGCTTAAGATGACTTGCTATTGCTGGAAACTCACGGCAGCAGATCATTTCAACTTTTTATTTGTAAATATAGCATTCTGAATATAAAGACTTTTTTTTACTCTGTGAAACTTAGCATTCAGCCTTATTTTTGGTTAAAACTTTCTGTAAAACAAATATAATGCAGTGATTAGTGATCAGAATATACTCTGCCATTGCAGACAGCAAGAGTCATTATTTTCTTTTATATTTTTAAAGGTCCCAGCACCAGAACATGCAGAAAAAGGCGGTGTAAGTAACGTGACAGAAGCCAAAATTGTTCTCTTCCTCACGTCCTTATTTATTAAGGTACCTCATTTAATATGTTGTTTGGAGGAATAGCCCTGTAACTAATTTTTACATTGCTGTATGCATCACAGTTATATTTGTATAGTTATCCTTTGAAGGGATAGCCTTAACAATAAATTGAAGGTTGAATATAAGTCAGTATGGTGAGAGGCCAGAAATCTGCATTCAGTTCCCTGTCCCTTGCCTAGATGGATCCTGGATGTAGTAAAAGCAGGATGCCAAATTCTTTGAGACGAGGAACTTCCTTTTTTTGTGAGGAAGAAGGGAAGGGATTTGTCTTTCCTGCTACTATTGAACTTGACTAGATGAAATAAGTATTAATTCTAAGAGTTCTGAATATTCGCCTTACATCTTGAGGAAGAAAGAAAAACAAGGATTTTGAGGATTTCTGTCATTGTCCTGGGTAAAGACAAAGCTTGGGACTTTGCAAAAACTAATGCTTTCCTTAGTTAATACCAATTATGCCTAGATTTCCACGGACTTTTTTTCAGTGTAGAGACAATATCTTGCAGCGCTGTAAAAATCGTTGAAGGTGTTCTGAGTGTAAAGTATATCCCAAGTTAACTGTGACAGGTTTTCACTTCTGTTTCTTCTCTATTCAGGCTGGCTGTAAGCCTTCAGACATTGGTATTATATCACCCTACAGACATCAATTAAAAACAATCACTGACTTGATGGCAAGACTAAAGGAGAGTAGAGTGGAAGTCAATACTGTAGACAAATACCAAGGAAGAGACAAAAGTATCATAATTGTGTCTTTTGTTAGGAACAGCGATGATGAAAACGTGAGTTGGTCATATTAGCTTGACTTTCTTTCAGTCAAATTAGAAGTCTAAAACCACCCTGAGCTTTAAACTTAATTTTATTTTCAAAATGTGTTCACATACATTGAATTCTGAAATTTAAGTGTAACTCGCTTTTATTTTTCCCACTTATTTAACAGCTTGGCGCCCTCCTGAAGGACTGGCGACGTCTTAATGTTGCTATCACAAGAGCCAAGCACAAACTAATTATGATCGGTTGTGTTCCGTCCCTGTGCCGCTACCCTCCTTTAGAGAAGTTACTCTGCCATTTACAATCTGAAGCAATGATATCCTTTTATTCCCATGCAGTTTTATGAAAGGAGGAAGATAAGTTTGACTTCTTGAGGTGGGAGGGAAGGATAGGAAGAACTTTGATTTCTTAAGTTATAATACTGACTGACAACACAGTACAAAATATGTTGGTTAATATGCTAAAAATTAATACTTTTACATCAAGGTCATAGATGGATCTGGAACCTTCACTCTGTCTACAAAGGTAGACATAAAAATCCATGTTGACTTCCAAGTCAACTTTGACATTTTCTTTATCTTAAGTTTGAGGCCTGAATTCTTACTATTACTATTTTTTTTTTTGGCTGCAATTTTTTTTCTGATCATCTTTAGTCTCTTGGTATCTTTAGTGTCAATGTGATCATCCTTCTCTGGAAGGAGCGTGCATTTAAACATATCCTTTGACCAAATGGTTCGTGAAGTTGCTAGAATGGAAAATGGCATAACTTTCAGATGAGATGCTTGGTTGGTTTTTTCTTTTTCCCCCCCCCTCCCCACCCCCCCTCCCCCCACCACCTCCCACGCAGAAAGCAGCCAACAAAGCCTTGCCAGCTTTCCTTTGCAAACAGTAATATACAAACAAGTTTTATTTTTTGTGATAAACGTTATCAAAATGCTTGAGTACTATTTCCTTAACTTGTTTACATCTTCAATCTTCCAGCAGGTGCTCATGAAAGTATCCAGAAATGTAACATTTTATGACTGTAAAGATCGGGAATTTGACAGCTATTTTCTGTATGCTGCTGCATGTAAATAACTCATCAGGGCGGTGTGAGTGCTGATGTGCACAGTTTAATCTGAGTCAAGTCAGACTGAAATCGCATCAATTTTTTTCTTAAAGGTTTCCTTTCTGTAAAAATGATCATCTATATGCCTTGCTTTAATAAGCTGCTTGTTTTAGTACCTGCATTTTTGCAGCAAACCAGAAGTATGAAATATCCTGTTCCTTCAGGTACTGGATAGCTGCTTCTTTATTCACTTTTATCTTAATAGACAGTTCTCTGTATAAATGAATGGAAACACTTGAGGAGGGAATAAATCAATGCTGCTTTGAGTCAGTTTTCTAGGCTCCATTTGATTTTAAAGACTTAATGTAGTTTACATACAGCAGGCTTTTATTAGCATTCCTAATTAAGATAACCTGATTCTATGCAGTTTGGAGGAAAATTAGGAAAATTTTCCTTCTCTTCTTCAAAGCCTCATGTTCCTATTTAAAGATTACATCCACTTTTAAAATACTGAACTTTTGTATTTATGTACATAATGTAATTAATCTCCTGAAGGTCCCTTGATGACTTGTCTAAACCCTTTATTTTGCATAAATCTGAGAAGTGTGATACTAATTTACTGGACTCCTTTTTATGAGCTGAGGTATTTAGAAAATAAATCTCTTAAAGTTCTGCTCATTGAAGATCATAGTAAAAGTCCTGCTAGTTTCACTCCATTTTTGATCTCTAATCTTTTCATCAAAAAACAAGAAACAAAACTACAGATGCAACTTGATGATCAAGAAGTTTACATGCTTAGTGTCCCTTTAAAAAAGGATAGCCTATGTGCAATACAAAGTATCCTCTACTTGATGGATCTATTTTAGTTTCCTTATGCTACCTCATACTGTACAATCGTACTGAGTGATTTCTTTCAAAGATTACTGGAGCAAATATCAGGGGGTTTTTTTGAGTCCTTAAAATCACTAGTATTTGGGGGATGTTTTTTCAATGTCAAATAGTTGAGCACAGATTGTTGCAGAGAGACTTCTAGATGTTAAATGTGAGTATCTTCCAGTTTTTTAACGTGTTCACCTGACTATTGTAATGTTTGTGATGAATAAAAATTTGATGTTTGTTTTGTTATATTCTGATGCTTTACATAGTAGAAATATTTTGAATAATACAAAAAATAATTTGAGCAGTTAACAGGCTGTCCTGTTTTCAGTTTAAAATATATACTTGATCAGCAGCTGTGTGAAAGCTCTGGGTCTTTCAAAAGATTATATCAAATTAATTATGGGGGGAAAATAGCTCCTAAAGTATAGCTCTGTTACAGTAATGATTTTAGAATAATATATAGTTTTCCTTTCTATATGTGGAATCAAAATGTACAAAAATTTTAAGATTTAGCTTGTCTACTTTCTTATGCCAAATTACGCTTATCCGGGAAGTGACGTGTGTGTTATCAGAAACTAATAACAGGTATTGCCATTCCTCCACAAAATTGCGTGAGAAGCAGGCACAAAGATAACCCCGTGGTTCCTGATCTGCTTTTAAAATACAGCCTTCTTGCATGGTAAAAGTTGGACTGAGTGGAGAGATTTATAGATTAATGTTTTGATGTGGTGTTCTCCAATGAAACAGATGTGACATAACTTTTACATTCCAAGGAGTATCAAAAGGATACATTATAAAAGTAGCATAAATTACTTATTCACTGTCTTTAAAGTATGGCTTTCTAATGCAGAAACACTCATTGATAGTGCTGGAAGTGTAACAGATACAGGTTGAGCGCTGTCTTAATGATGAGCATGTTGCTGGGATTCCTAAAAATAAAATAATGTAGGAATCTGTTGTATGCCAGACTAATGGGTTCAGAGCCTGAATTAGCACTGTTAAATATTTAAATTTATAGGTCCCTTTTTTTCTTTTAAGGGGGGTGGGAATCATACAGTATTGGAAAAGCTGTAAGAAGATGTTCTGTTCTTAAAAAAAAAAAAATTTTTTTTTTTACACTATAGTCTCAGAAGTAGGATGGGGAGGGGGAAGTGAAGCACCCACATTTTGTTCTACAGCTTGCTATTTAACTTTTATTGAAAAGGGGTTAGGGGTAAGATTATGATTTGAATAATCACTTAAAAAAAATAGTGTCAAGGACACAGTAAGCATGAGATGAGATTCCCTCTCTATAGCTGATCTTTTACATGACAAAAGTGTTTGATCTTAAACTCTTAAGAGCTGTGGGGCTTCAGCGTTTTTGGTTTTCTGGTCAAATTTCTCTGTGTACCTTCCCTCTCCCCCCCATCTCTTTTTTTTTTTTTTTAATGCTGAAATGTCTGAGATTTGTCTTTGAAAAGGTCAGCTTCTTTTCCAAACACCTTATTCTTAATACTGAACTCCAAGCGATTTTTTTTTGAGGGGTGGGGGGAAAGGGGGTGACCCTAAGCTCCTGTAAGAGCTACAGTCATGGCATCTTTGCTTGAAGGTATGAGAGGTGTGCGTTTCTAAAATGTGTTACTGCGCTTTGGAGAACCGTTATTCGGAAGAAACGGTCAGGGGTTCACGGGAATGAGCCGCCAGAGAAAGAACGGGCCCTGTTTTATGCAAGTCTCGGATCGTGCCGAAGCCCCCCACCCCTTAAGAGTGCCCTCACGCTCGCTCAGCAGCGCGGGCACCGTCCTTGTGCAGTTAGAGGTAGCCATCCTTTGGCCAGCGGGCGGGTCCTCC